GTTCTAACAAAATAAATAATTATTATCTTTATAAAAAATTATATTATTAAACCAAATATAAATTACTTCGTTATTGTACCTAAATTAAATTATAAAAAAATTGAATAAAAAATTATATAAAAAATGAGAAATTTTAAATAGTTAATTTGATACTAATATCGATGTATTTTTGTCAAATTTTTATGATATCTTCAAACTTATATTTCATTCAAAAATAAAGCATTATCGCTTTCTCAAAATCACATAATACCATATTATAACATCAACTGAGATAAAAAATAAAATAAAATATTAAAATCAAGATATATCTCGCAGCATTGCGCGAATACACTTCTAGTATATATAAATATATATATATATATATATATATATATATATATAACATGGTATTTAGTATTTCAATAACATGGTGTTTGTCATTGTGGAAGTGAAAATGAAAGAATGGAGGTGAAAGGGATGAAAATGGATGGGGTTTGGGTTGGAAATATAATGTAAGCAAAATTAAAGAGTTGGGTAAAAGATGGTATGAAGATGTGTTGATTGTGGTAGATGAAGGGGTTTTAATGTTCCTGAGCCATTTGACAGAAAACATATATGTACAATTAGTTTCTGGGCCCTAAACACTTGTTCCATGACTATCAAAATTCACCACATGTTCGTAAATAGTAATACTCGCTTATTACTTAATTATTTTATATATATATATGTGTCATAGTTTCATTTGAAAAGTGACAAATATTTGAAAAGTAAAGAAGTGATCATAGTCTTTCATCTTGTAAAAAGTTGCGGCGTTAGTTGTGAAGTATCGGATAATTTATCGCATGATATGTGGAAGATTGAGGGTAATTTCATAACATTTACAAATAGATGACAAAACAAGTGTATATGTGAACCCGTGTGATTCGTTATGAACCAGGGTAATTCACATATGAACTGTTTATGAACCCGTTTATATGTGAACCCGTGTGATTCACATATGAATTGTTTAACTGATTCATGTATGAATCCGTGTGATTTATATATGAACTAATTAACTGATTCACATATGAAAACTCGTGTGATTCACATATGAACTAATTAACGGATTCACATATGAAATATGAGTTCACATATGTACTTATGGGTTCACATATACGACGATACAATAAGTCACGAAGACGAAACTATGTGATATAACAAGCTATATATATCAACGAAGTTGGGCAAGCCAACAGGAGTATACATACGACTTGGAACATCTTCGATAGACTCCCTATATTGACTCTCTAATACATTAATTTTCATTATCTCACTCATCCCTTTTCCATTGGGTACTACATATATGATTAAAAATTATCATCCAGTAGGGGTAAAATAGGAAACTTGACATTAAATTTATTTACTAGTAAGAGTAAGAGTATAATTAGTGGTTGGTTGGTCATAACATAGCAAGAATCAATGGCTATATATAAAACCCTAGAGTGTTTTCAAGAACCAACATTCCATCACCTCTAAGCTCTTTGCTCCCTTTGCAATGGAGTTATTAGCAGCAACTATGCTTTTCTGTACATTCTTATACTTAGTTTTTTCGTTAGCCAAGTTTGTATGTCGGAGAGGCCAAACGTGCTATATGATCGATTACGAATGCTACAAGGGAAACAAGGAGATGAAGCTGGATACCGAAGAATGTGCGAGGATTGTTTCACGTAACAAGAATCTTCGAATCGAAGATTACAAGTTTCTGTTGAAAACGATCGTTAATTCTGGGATTGGTGAAGAAACTTATGCCCCAAGAAACATAATCTTGGGCGAAGAAGAACAGCCTAAACAGGTTGATTCTTTATCAGAAATGGAGACAGTATTCTACGAGACGCTTGATAGAATTTTCGAAAGATCAAAGATTTCGCCATCTCAAGTTGATATACTCGTGGTGAATGTGTCTCTACTGTCTGTAGTTCCTTCTTTAACGTCTAGGATCATAAATCATTACAAAATGCGGTCGGATATAAAGTCATTTAATCTCTCGGGAATGGGGTGCAGTGCGAGTTTGGTTGCGATCGATCTGGTTCAGCAGTTGTTCAAGACTCAGAAGAAGAGATTAGCCATTGTTGTGAGCTCAGAATCAATGGCAGCTAACTGGTACTGTGGGAGAGAAAGGTCTATGATGCTTTCCAACTGTCTTTTTCGCGTTGGAGGTTGTTCGATGCTTTTAACCAACGACATGGCTCTCAAGAAACAAGCCATTTTGAAGCTCAAGTGCATGGTTCGAACCCATTTTGGCTCCAACGATGAAGCTTACAGCTGCTGCATGCAAGTAGAAGATGATCAAGGCTACGGAGGCTTTCGTCTCACAAAATCTCTCACAAAAGCAGCTGCAAAATCTTTAACAAAAAACCTACAAGTTCTTCTACCAAAAGTTCTTCCACTTTGGGAGATAATTCGTTATGCAACCCTCAAAAGTGGTTCCAAAATCAACCTGAAAGCTGGAATCGAACACTTCTGCGTTCACCCAGGTGGAAGGGCTGTGATTGATGAAGTGGGTGTAAGCCTAGGGCTAACCGAATACGATCTTGAACCAGCTCGAATGGCTCTTCATCGTTTTGGCAACACATCTGCTGGCGGGTTGTGGTATGTGTTAGGGTACATGGAAGCAAAGAAAAGATTGAAGAAAGGTGATAGAATCTTGATGATTAGTTTGGGTGCAGGTTTCAAATGCAACAACTGCGTTTGGGAGGTGACAAGAGATTTGGATGGAAAGAATGTGTGGGAAGATGTGATTGAAAACTATCCACCAAAGGTGACGATAAACCCATTTCTAGAGAGGTATGGATGGATCAATGATGAAGTTATGGCTTTTATTAGACCAGAAGATATAGCTCGGATGCTTGGTTTTGCCTAGACCACCACCACCACCACCATCATCATTAATTTTCATATATTTATCACATTAATTGAGTTGCTGCTTTCAAACTTTTTTTCCAAGAGATTCTGATTGAACCAAATTAAGCAAGCTTAATTTGGTAAGAGTTCTTTGTTATTTTTCATCATGATGTATGAATAAGAGTTATTGATATATAATGATTAAAGTTTTTGAATTTAAACGATATTAGGGTTTTGTTTGATTAGTTTGACCTTCATAGATAGTCCAAAGATGATTTTTGTGATTTATTTTAATAAAATGCTTGTTTTATCGATCATTTTTAGCACGAATAATCAAATCTAACACACACACATATATAAAACATGTTATTCAGCTTGTACAAATTAGATGGTTTGTATTTGATCGCTCAATTGTTTATATATATATCTATACTACATATATAAGCATTTAGGTCATTATCTTAATTACAACTCTTGAAGCGTATATTACAACCATTTTATGCAAGAAATTCAAAAAACTCTTAATTACAAATTTTTATACACAATGTACAAGTCTTTAATGCAATATCTCACAACCCAAATGTTAATTGGGTCAAACCAACCTTTTCTTACCGGGCTTTAAAAATACCCATTTGGGCCGATTTCTTCTTCTTCAGGTACCTATCTCTGCAACGAAAACCACCAAGACCAAAAGCTTTCTTCTTCTTTCCTCTTCTGTGATTTTTGTCACATATGATCAAAACATTTTGGGATAGATAGCCGATACCTTTCTTCTTCACAGACCTCGTTTCTCTTAACAATGGTGGTTTTGATGTATCACCTCGATCAGATGTCCGATTTCATGTATCCAAGCGATTTGATGTATCACAACCTCATCTATACATATAACTCCCTCCTCCTTGATGTTTTAATATCACAGGTTCTTCAAAACCCTGTTGATTTCAATTTCAATTTTAATTTGGAGGAACGATTTCTGCTGATGAGATTCTAACATCCTTAGAGGTAAGAATATTCTCTGTAATTTTGAAATCTCCTACTATTACAACACCTCTTTTACATAGCTATTATGATTTCTGAGCATTTCCATTGAATTTTGTATGTACATTTCCATTTAATTTTGTGGTGGTGTTATAGCATTTTGTGATTGTTACTTCTATCATATTGGTATCGTTACAAGAACTTGGGCACGCCCATGCTGCTACAAGGTTATTACTTCCATCTCATTCTTCTTTTGCTGTTAGCCTTGATTTAGCCTACCTGGTTGGGTACTTTATAATATTGTATGTGATTAGCTCTTGTTCTAAATCACACTCGGTTAATATCCATTTAATTGTATGATATCCAATTGACTGCTAATGTAAGCTTCTGCATAGATCTATATGTGGCTTGAGAATGTTATTGGGTATTGTTTACAGTTTACCTCCTGTCTACTATGCTTTTTCAGGAATGTTATAGTAGAAATTATCAGGTTCAAGTATTTGACTGTTTTCCCGTAGGACATGAACATAACTAAAATTCATGAAGAAATGACTTATGCATGAGTTATATGAACTACTTATTCACGATATAAGTTATTTTAGGACAATATCAGGTAGTATTTTCGATCAATTATTAGCATAAGAAACTGGGCAAAAAAGACTGACCATTAGCATGCAAACATTAAGAGCTAATTGGTTTAAGATTTTGATTTTAGTTTGTTTTCTGCACCAGCTTTCATGTTATATGTAAACTAATGGGTTCATGTACTGGGAAAATATTTTTTACTAACATGTTTGAACTGCCGTTACATCTTTGATATTATTTGGAGTGATATGGAGGTATTTAGAGGCTTGGATGGTTTCTTGATGAGGTGTCATGGTGATGGAGGTTGGAAATGATTGGTCTTATTCTCTGTTTAGGACTACTGGATTGGTTTTCTTGAAGTTTCTTGTTATTTGGACATGGTTTTATGTTGCTTTCTAGAGGTATAAGGTGGGGGTATTGATGGTATATGGTCTAAAATATACCTGCTGTTTTAACTCTTGTTTCTGTTTTGGCCATGTGGAGTGATTGTGCTTAAACAGCTTCAAACCTTTACTCCTATGGACATATAGAGTTTGAGGAACTTCTTCTTCTTCTCGACTATCTTTTGTGTCTGATTTTCTTTGTTTCTTCTTATCTTCTTTTTGGTTTTTGGCATCTTGTTGGTGGTTGATCTTTTGATCCTACCATATTGTATGCTTGGTCTCTTTTGTGGTACTTGGGCTATTGATCTTTGATCTGGCCTACCTTTGTATCATAATGAGATCTTCTCTATATCTGGATTGTCTCTTTTGTGTTTTTTGTTTTGCATTTGTTTTAAAATGTCTTCTGTCCTTTGTGCATCTATCCATGACCAATTTAGATTTGGTGGTATAAGGTGGTATAAGGTGTTTAATATAATGTATTTTCTTTCTTTGGTGGTATAAGCCACCATCTACCCTATGCTGCTACAAATGGTTTTACATTTGTTTTGAAATCAATACTGGGAAAATGATATACTGTTGGGGCTGACTGTTGCAATGTTTTGACAGAAGTGTGTTATGCCTAATTGATGGGTGGTGCATTTTCTAGACTTCATTTGTGCATTGTGGAGGGAATGGATTACAAATTTATGCATTGAATGGATGCGACAGTATGGTATTGTCACTGTTCGTTTGGTCAACAGTATAAAAATTCAATCTTGATCATTTGAGCAACCACCATCTAGCTTATGCTGCTTCAAATGGATTTTGAAATCAATTTTAAAGGAAAATATGCCTTGTCAAAATATGCATTTATATTGATTTCGGCTTGGGACTCTATTTGGACCGAATGGTGTTTACTCCCAATAGATGGTGTGTATGGGTACAATTCTTGTCGATGGTTGATTGGGATTATTGGTATCGATTGCAATCTTCAAATACGAAGGTCTTCTTGGAATGTTCTCATGATTGTTGTTTCTCCTTTGACGATGGAATGGTTGTGATTGATCGGTGCCCTAATTTTGTTGATCTATACACATTCGTCGAGTTCATCTTGGGTGTGTATCGATTGCTGCCCTTCTTCGATGCCCTAATTGGTGGTGGGTACCGATTGCTTCTTCTTTTCAATGGATTGCTTATTCTTGTTGGATGTGGTTTGGTGTTCTTGCTTCCTCGCTGCCATGTTCCTATGGTTCTGATGTGAGTGCTGTTTGTTTTGCACTAATTTTGGTTTGGCTCTATCAAATATGGATTGATATTTGGGCTTCTGATTTGGTTTGGTCTTGAAATATGATTTGATTTGGGCGTGGGTCATTTGTTTGATGTTGGATGGATGGTCTTCATGGGCCCAGATTGATATTATGGGATGGACTCCCATTTGTGGTTTGTTGCTCTAATGCTGGGCCATTATTTGTTGCAATGACAATAATGGGCTTGGTTTATTGATTCTGTACCTTTTTTGAAAGTGCATAAATGTATCATCAAGTAGGTACATCCGAACAATCCTTAATTTAACTGCATTTAGCAGAGCTTCAATTCAAAGTGCATAAATGTATCATCCATTACAAAAGGAATAGGATATCACAAATAAATTATTGAACTATTATATAATGAACAAGATCAAAGTTGATTTGAGATTTTGATTTTGACTAAATAATCTTTCTCATATAATTCAATGTAGGAGGTTTTATTTCCTTCCAAACCCTTCAACATCGGTTGTAGTAACTATGGGAAAGAAGTCTTATTTTCTTTGGCTTTNTCATATAATTCAATGTAGGAGGTTTTATTTCCTTCCAAACCCTTCAACATCGGTTGTAGTAACTATGGGAAAGAAGTCTTATTTTCTTTGGCTTTCTTAATCTCAAATGCATGGCACAGTAGTGATTTGAATTGATCCATGACATGATTAATTTGCAAAAGCAATAAAACGTGAACCTATATTGACAACATCTTTTGATGATGTAAAAACGGAACTAAAGGTGGTCCACATTAAGCTTTGGATTTAGCGATACTAAAATTTTGACGAGTTCTTATATTTTTCAAAAAATATCAAATATAATAACAAAAAAGTGATTATGAAAAGATGTTCTAAGTTATCAAACCGTTAATTTTTTTTTTTTAAAAAAAATAAGTCTATGATTTGTCTGATTTACTATCCGAGGGTGAGCAATTGTCAACGTTTGACCAGTATGTGATAAAATCCTTCTCATTCTGAAGACCAACCGAAGTCCTTGAATGCTACTAGATATTTTCCATATGTGAGGAGATTTTTCAAAGCTGACTTGGCAGCCGAGACTAGCGAAAGGCTTAAGCCCGTCTATTGTAGGATTTGAACTTGAGCAAAGTCACTCCATCGCTTTGTCAACTCACTACACGTCTAGAGACTTTTCATCACAATAAATATTAACACCTTGCTCACCCAATGTAGGTGTTTATCTATCGAAATCAGTATTCTTACACGGGCAACTTTACATGGCGTTGTCCAAAGGGATATCACGGGGCAATACGAAGGTGTTAGTGAAGCCTGTGAAAATATTCAATCGTGTTGGAGTCTACACCTCAAATGTCGTCTATAATCAACAATTATATTATTACACATTTGGTACCATATATTTCTATTAAAATCATTGCGCCGTTTTTTGCAGAAAATATTTACGGGTGTGTGCATCACGAAAATTAAACAATAGTTTGGATATACGGATGAACATTATTTACAAATAATTGTATTTCTTTGTTCAATCAAGAATTTCAAGTTTTGTAAAGAGTTCTGAGTATATGGGTTTAGAAACCCAATACGTGTGCAATTATTTTTCCATTTGATCTTGCTAATACACCATATTAACCATCAACTTTATATATTAATTGACTTGCAAAATAACCACAAAAACTCATGATTCAAGGCTAAACTAATGTTTCAGAATTGTGATTCAGCGATGCAGCGCGGGTACACCACTAGTATATATATATATATATAGGAAATGGTTCAAACGAGAACCCCTGTGATTTGTAAAAACGCAAGAACAACATATTAACCTCA